GAAGTATTTAAAAAAATGTGATTCTTGTAATTTAAAAAATGTTCATTGTGTATTTTGAAAATTTTGCTTGTATTTAAAAAATGGATGATGAACATTTTTTAATACATGAAAGGCATTATTAAATACATGAAACTTTTTTAAATACATCATGAACATTTTAAATTACATGATAAATATTTTCTAAATACCTAATGGATATCCTAATACACGATGAAACTTTTTTAGTACATGCATATGGACATTCTTTTAAATGCATTTAATTTTTTTCTATGAATATGTGTTGACAGGCATGAACATTTGTTTTTCTATCGAAAACATGGATATTTATTCAAAATATCTGAGGAAAACAAAAGCAAAAAATGTAAAATAAAAAAAAACCTAAAGAGAAGAAACCGTCATGTCAGAGTGTGCGGCCAAGAAAAACCAAAATGAATGGCCAGTCTAAGCGGTAGTTAATAATGTATCGTGAATGAAATATATGTTCAATGTGTATCTGTAAAACTTTGACGGTATTCAAAAGTGTTAAACATGTGTTGGAAAAATATCAACATGTATTTGGAAAAGAAATTAACATGTATTTAATTAATATTCAATGTGTACTCAAAAAAATGATCAATCCGTGTGTGAAAATGTATATACCATGTATTCATAAAATGTTCAGAGTGTGAAAATAAAAAATTATGAAGAGAAACAAGTATAAAAAGAAAAACAGAAAAATGTATATAACAAGAAAAAGGATCGATGCTAGAGGCAATATAAATTATTTCATTAATTTGAGAAAGAAGTATATAAAATAGGAAAGACAGAAAACCAAAGAAAGGAAACTTGAAAACCGAAAAGGAAAATAATAACACCAGCAAAAAGAAACATAAAATAAGAAAAGAAAAAACAATCCGGAACCTTTCACAATTTGCCAAAATCGGAGTCGATACTACCCAAACCATGCTAAATGGGTCGGTCCGCTTCAGCGCTCCCTGTAGGCGAGGCTACGATAGGTATTGCAGTACACAATATATAGCATTCGCGCAATGCTACTGTAGAACTCACTATAAGCGAGACCTAGATGCACCCCACCGCGCAATTGGATATGGGTTGTGGCCACGTAGCTTACATCTTTCAGCAGTTTTGGAAAAGAAATTATGCTCGCGCCGGTGTTCTAAGCTTAAATTCATACTTTTTTTACTAGTACCAGATGAACATTATTAGTAAAATATATTTGGTTCCTAAATATTAATTATTAAAACATTTAAAAATATGTATAGAATGGTAAAAAGGAATAAGAGCAATGCATACAGCAACTAGCAATTTATGCAATATAAAGAAAATGAAACCAACTAGCGACCACACACCGTAAAGCGGGCCCACCGCAGGTAGATGTGACCGAGCGCTTCCATGGAAAAGAGCGATGGCAGACACCAAATCTACGAATGCAAAAAAAAAAAAGACACCCAATCTACCACGCCAAAAAAAAAAAATCTACCGCCTTCCCTCATGAACAAAACAAAAATCTACCGCCTGCGCCATTCAGGAGTCCTTCTCCGTGCTTCAAAGCCTGGACCATCCTGTAGCGGGCCCGTTGAAAGAGCTGGTTGCCCCACTATGAACAAAACGTGTTACATGACGTAGCCCAATCCAAGGTGTGAACAGTACAAGTGGCCCTCACGCGGAGCTGCCGTTTCCTTTTCCTAGTTTTTCCTAGGTGGGGGCTGGATAGCTTAGCTTGGGTTGTCAACAAAAATCACAAAAACCACATATTATTCCTCTCAATAGTTTAATGGGCATTGAGAATATTAAAATGTACGTACTATATATGACAAGTAAATTTGTGAAGGCGGACGAAAACATCACTTCCACGGTTTCCACTATCCCAAATACTCCGGCCCTAGTCGAGTACAAGTTCAATTGATTTGCAAAAACAAAGAGCACTAGTCCTACCGAGCCGGACGAAGTTGTCGGACGTCCTAATACAACCATCATGCAAGAAATACCTATGTATGCGGAAGGACCGTTGCCGTCGGTTTCAAACGTAGGCTGATAGCAGCAAAATATGACCAGTTTCAATGTTTGTTGCATATGTCGTCATCCAAGGAAACCCACTTGGCTAATCAAATGACACTCGGCATCACGAAACGTACCTCCTGCTTCAGCAAGTGGATGTTGATATGATTACACCGATCAACTTGTACGCACGGATTGAAATACTTACTCATGTTGATAGACGAAATCTATCGACATGTTAAACGAGTATATTTTGAAACTGTGTGCAAAATGATGAGATTATTAGGAAAAGCCTCTTCACTCGTCAGAAAAGTGCATTTGAAAAATGAGTATGTAGATGTTTTTGTATGCATACTTGCAGGTCATATACCCAACAATCTGAACCAGACCGGTGAAATGGGCATGCTGTATAATGGAATTACCCATCGGTGTCACTGATATGCCCCACCTCCGACGGCCTTTGGGCCATGGAGGTGCGGAGGACCTGTCCCCCCCCCCCCTGTTGGGTTCATCATCTTGGTTGGGGTTATGTGGGGGTGGCGATGTCTCTCAGTAGGAATAATATCTCTCATGTTCAATTCTCGTGCCGGTCCGTATAGCGTCGCCGGAGAACAGGTGTGTCCCCATCAAACCTCGCGGAATTCAGTTGGTGCTAGTCTACGATGGATCTAGTCTTCGATCACCTTTATTATTGTGTTACAGGTTTGATCCTTTCAATCCACGACTCTTTTCATTGTCGATGACCTTAGCACGACGACTTTTGAACCTTCTACTACAATAAGTTTCACCCGTCATCGGTGTGGGATGTTTCTCGAAAATATTAATTTCCTCTTACTCGAAAGCGTCAATAAATTAAGATTGTTTTATTTGCTTGCTCCATCTGTCCCCAAATAGATGGCGTATAAACCAATTTCAAAAGTTAATGATTGCAGTACCTCCTCGTCCAAGTCATCGACCTTGACCTTGGCCTAGTCAACACCGTCGAAGTGAAGCAACTCCCCTTCACGGACAGATAGAGCATTGGACGAAGAGAGACCTGGTGACTAGGGTCGGCAACGCGGATTGAATATAGAGATGCCCACGAATCTGGAGTCCTGGTGTGGCGACAGCTGGGCCGAGCAATAGCCGCAGAGCAACCACCACACTCCGGTCT